TACGTATACTACTACTACGTAACCTAACCTACGTACTATTAGTTACGTAACGTAACTACGTACGTCGTACGTTTACTTTCTTCTCTCTCTCTCCTCCCTCCCTCCCTCCTCTCTCTCTCTCTCTCTCTCTCTCTCTCTCTCTCTCTCTCGTCACGACCACCGCCCCAATACCACCACCACCACCACCACCATTGCGCTGCAGCTAATGCCATTATCGCCACCATGACACTGTGCGAGAAGAACTTGTAATTCCAATTAGCACAATCAAACACTCTTAGACAGCACATGACAATTGACCAAATTTCAATTTGGTTGATTACCATTTGAAAGAAAAAGATCATTTAATGAAATTTGATAATCGAATGGACCCTATTCTTTGTTTTTTTTTTTCCTCTTGTTTCTTTCACTCATTCATCAATTTGATCATGTAAAACCTCCAGCCTGTGAATAGTACTACTGAAACAAGATCCATGTATAAGGAAGTCATATTAGGTGGTGATGTATGGGATCTTCTTGACGAGTTGATGATCTACATGGGAAATCCTATGCCGTACTTTGACAAAGAAGTGAAGTTTGTTCGAGTAATTTTCACAACTCGTTCCTTAGAATTGTCTTTGAATCAGTTTTATTTCTAAGAAAGAATCCTTTATTTAGATTTAGCCTTAAAAAATCATGAAATCTAGTATGACTTATTGAGAGCTATCTCATTCATTAGGGAGTTCTTCTCTCTGGACCCCCTGGGACGGGTAAAACTCTCTTCGCACGAACATTGGCAAAGGAAAGTGGATTGCCCTTTGTTTTTGCATCTGGTGCAGAGTTCACTGACAGTGAAAAAAGTGGTGCTGCAAGAATTAATGAGATCTTCTCTATAGCTAGGAGAAACGTAAGTATGTTTTCAATTTACTATGTGCCATGTATGTTTCTATTATATGATAATCAATTCAACACACAGATCTTCCATTTTGGTCGCAAAGCTCTGCCTTCCAACGATAAGTTGTTACCCCTTATGAGCATTACTTGGAAAGTAAAAAAGCAAATAATATTGTAAAATTTGCTGTAATTACAACCTCTGTTAATTTCAGTCTTGGAAAGAATGAGCATAAAAGGAAAAGAATATTCCTAACAGCTGACTCTAAGGAGAAGATTAATAATTGGTTATAGGTAGTTTCTGAGAAGAGGAACTGATGTCATCTATGAGAGTTTATAAAAACAGCTTAAGAAAATAGTAAATCTCGGAAGAAATTTGTAAATCGTTCTATCAATTTGTAACCTATAATGTATTGCAACTTAGAAATGGATGCTGTGTATTAAAATTTGCCAAAAGATATTGTCATATTTGTTTTGTGCATCATATACTGTTACTGAATTATTCTCATAGTTTTTAGAGAAAGTGGGTGAGTAGATGCTTACCTAAAGATTGATGGTGGCAAAAGTTAAGTTATTTCCATTTTCTCCCATGATAGCAATTGTCTTCTTATTTATCCTTCTGCATAAGTTTGTTTGCAGCAAGTCTTTTATTGGTTATCCATTCCTCTCAAGGCCGAAATACTTCAAACAATCAATTGAAGCATGATATTCAGTACTTTTGAGAATGCTGTCTTGGTTTTGAGTTCTAGCATCTTATGAGAAGCTGCAGAAAAATTACAGTATGCTAGTTTCTTTTTATCAAAAAGCATGGTGAAATTAGATGTTCTTAAAGTATCTGTGTTATAAATATTGGATATCGTGGCCTTTAAAGGCCAAGAGAGCTTGTAAAATGATAACTTTATGATGGAAAAAGTTGCACAGCATGTACACATGATAGCCACACTTCTGGAAAGCAGCCCTAACGAGGGACCCATATACATGTGCATAAAGATAGCCCCTTTTGTATTGTGGTGACATGTATAACGCATGATCTTTAAGGGAGGGACTAGAATCCACATTCCAGGATCTTAGTCCCATTGTTTAGTGTCCAACTTTGACAAGCCAATCATGAGCCCCTGCATAAAGACTGTGGGTCATGGGTTTTTGTTGGGTTGGATAAGAAAACAATAGTGGATCATGGTTATTGGGTCAAGTGGAGTGCTCTTATTGTGGCTAATTTTCTCCCGTTGGTGCTAGTCCACTTTTAAAATATTTTATTTTGGTATTAGAAATATTTTATTTTGGTATTAGAAATATTTTTGTGATTTTTAATTTTTTTTTTAGAATTTTAAAATATCTTTCAGCTGTAAAAATTCATTAAAAGGGATTTATGAAATTTTCAGAACTTGAAAGGACACATGTGGGGTCCAAGGATCAAGGCCCTATGTGTGTGCCACCCATTTGTGGAAACATGTGGCCTTGTGGGGCCCACATAATCCCCCTAGGGTGGTATGCCCCAAATTTTTTATGTGCTACTTTTAGATGATAGTTTTAGTTAGTTGGGAATCTTTCAAAATTAAAAAGATTTGATTCCTATTCAAATGAGAGTTTTTCTTTAGAGATTATATTTGAATTCTTATGGATTTTGGAAGATCTAGATAATACTAAACGTGGTCAATATTTAAATTTAAAATGAAGTTGGACATGGGTCAAATTATAAGGGGGTAAAATTTGCTATTTTCCACACAAAATCATGATTATTGATTCGTGGGATGGATGGCTCTGGTTTAATCTTTCTCATCCCACAGATTTCATATATATCTTAATGGAAACTAAGATACCTAGATGGAATCCTACTTCAATTGGGACATAGATTTGTTTTTATTTAAACAGGATTTGAACCTCTTAAAATATGCTAAGGTCTCTCTCCTCTCTCATGCCAACTCTCTCTTCCATATCTCCCTCATGCCAATTCTCTCTCGTATATTCTCCCTCATGTCAACCTCTCTCCCCCCCCCCTCCACACCATATTTGCTCTCACACCAACCTCTGCCTCTCTCTCTCCCATATTTTTTCTCATGTCAACCTCTCTCTCTCCCCCCATAGTTTCACACGCTATCCTCTCTCCTCCTTTATGTGTGTAGTCACTCAAATAAAATAAAGGAAGAAAGATGGGATGTAAAACCCTATGTGGGGTTTGTTGATTTTTGAAGAAAAGAGAAGTACATGCAGCCTAGAGAGAAATCAACACTCAAGTTCAGCTCAAATCTGTTCCTCTAGGACTTCTTCAAACCCTAGTAGAGTTTTTGAGATTTCTAACACCTTAGAATGAAAGATATTGCTTGTAAAGTTTCCCTATCTCAGAAATTGTAGTAAGACCTAAAGGACGAAAATCGCGCAATCGGTCAGGGAATCGGGTGTGGGGTGTATCATGGCCATTGACCATTAAGGGCGACTTCATGCATCTTTTAGTAAGTCTTTCCAGTAGATTTTATTCTTTTCAGTCATATTTCATATTTTTCTGTGAATTTTCAGGAGCATGAGTGGTTTTTATTTACTTTGGAAGTAAAAGTAAATATCCTAGGTTGTATTTAGGCTCTTAATTTTGATTTACAACAGTACATAGTGGTCCATGTAAGTGGTCAGGTCTATTGAATAAAAACAAAAGAAAATTTTTAGTTTGTTATCTTGAGTTCCGCATAGCCACTCCTTTCATTGGTATTAGAGGCTCTATATGTTATTGCAATAGTCTAGGAGTTTTATTTATTTTTGAATCTAGAAATATGACAAGCTTTTTGGCTGAGTTTATTTAAGTCTGAAAGATTTGATGAGAAGAACTATGTTAGGTGGAAGAAAAAAATAGGTTATGTCTTCTTCGAAGGACTTAACCAGATGATTACTGATGATCCCCCACCTGCCCCAAGAGGCAATGTTTATGAAAGACATTCCATAAGAATTGGCAAAGCATGTTCTAGTTATGACCATGGATGACACCCTTGCTTGAGTGTGTAAGCACCTGAAGACTGCAAAGAAGATTCATGAACGACTTGAGACCAATTATGCTTCTCCTTCTCTCACTAGGAAAACAATGGCTATGAAACAATATTTAGATTTTAAGATGAAGGAATGAGGCAAATTAACCAAGCATATACAACAAATCAGAGCTTTAGTTCGCGAACTCGAGGCTACGCAAGTTAAGCAGGATGAAAACATGCAAATCTACTAGTTGCTGAGTTCTATGTCGAGCTCATGGGAAAGCTTCATTTCAGGCTTCACCACAAGAGAGAGCATGTTGAAATTGGACGAGATTATCACCAAGCTTAAAGCCGAAGAAGAAGCTTAAAGCTGAATTTGCCAGGGCTCAGCTGTAGAACACACCACGAGTGGATCTTTGAGATCAGCGATTAAACCAACAACTTTACCCTCTTCCAAAAAATCTTTACTATCATCATGATCCTTATCATAGATCAGATCTCCTAAGAAATCTTGTTGTTCATCTGAGTGTATATTGAAGATTGGCGGTGAATCCTAATTTATAATTTGCTTACTTTTCATGCAATCTGTGTCAAAATAAAGATCTCATCCTCCAAATCGAAAACCCTAAAGTGATGTTCCCCACATCTAGGTCTTTTATCGCTATCCTTATCACTCAACTCCACACACGGAGCGCAAAAGTGAAAAGGCTTGTATTCGAGATTCTCTTGGGCTGAAAAATCATTGTCTTGCTCATTACTGAGGCTCACGAACTACTGCACCGGCTGTTGTACTTGCCTTTCAAGTTCGTCAATTCTGTCATCTATGAGATCACAGAGTGGATCTATGAAGACCCCCTTTTCCTTGTCATAGGTTCGTCGAAATCACCAACCCTAGGCAAATAATCAACAAAAATTGCTGAAATCAGCAAGATCTAGGTTGTTTTGATGAAACTTTGACCAAAATTAGCAAACTTCAGACCCAATATAACTTTTTGTCTTTGTTGTTGATTTAGGGCACCAAAAAAGTGGTGCTACAATAACTCCGTACGTGCTACAGTAACTTCCGTATTTGCTACAATAACTCCGTACATGCTACAGTAACTTCCATGTAGATCGCAGGCTCTGATACCACTTGATGTTGGGGAATTTGAGGGAAAAATAAAATCAGCAAGAAACAAGCCAAACACAAACACAAGTTGAAGAAACCTAGGGTTTCTTTTCTTTTCCTAAGCTAGGATTCCAAAAGCCTAAGCTTTTCTCTTTTTCAATTTTTAAAAATCATGTGGAATTGACCATCTCAAGGCGCCATATACCTTATATATTGTAATTCAATGTTCAAAGATATTACATGTCCATACAATGATTAAAATGCTCTATGTATCCTAACTTAAACTTAAATTTCATAATGAGAAATTTACCCCTGTGAATAGCACCCATTAATAGTATTCATAAATTATACTTGTGAAATTTTCCTTGAAATAAACAAAAAATATATAAAAACCCTAGAATCTCTAAAAAACTAAAAACCCTAGAAATAAGCCCTAAAAGCAAACTATCATGTACATCCTTTAAAGTTGAATAAAAATAAAGAATAAGAACAAATTTTCCCTCCATCAAAAAGTAGGAACAAAATAAATGAGAATCAAAGGGGGAATAATGAGCCAAAGAACATAAATTCTTTTTATGGCCCCCGCCACCGCCCCTCCCCTCTTTGAGTTGCGGCCACCCCCCCCCCCTTCCCTCAACTGGAACTTCATATACGATCTTTACCCCAAAACCCATCTTCTCCAACCTAGCCCCCACCCTGTGAAACCGCCCCCCGCCCAACTCTACAGAATAGTAATACATGTAGAGCCCAGGAGACCTCGCCCAACTTGAAGAAGGCTACCTTTGCTCAGGTCATTGCAGTGTCCAAATCTGGTGCCAAAGCTCCTCCCGGCCCCCCTTTACCCTCTCGTGACCTCTCTACTCCTCTCTCATCCACCTACCTTCCTTTCTGTATCTCCTCTCCTTCAGGGGTAACAGAGTGTAACCACTCTAAACTTGCCGCAGCTCTAGTGGG